ATTGAGAGGAGACCTGTGGGCTCACTCATACGCACATACTCATCCACAAGATCACCAGGAATTCCATATGCAAGCATGTGAATAGCCGCAGTGCATTTCTGGTAAGAAGGGAAGCCACACTTGCCAAGGGGATCCTCTTTGCACTCAAAGTATTGATCATATCCTACCACTCCCTCCTGAATACGATTGAACACATGTCTCCTCATTGGGAATCGGCGATAAAATTGATGTGGTTTGAAGAGTGCGGTATTATTACAGTAACCGGCATAGAGAAGGGTGTGGTCTCTCTCCCTATTGCGGTTCTAGGCCGAAGCATGGCCGGGAATTGATCCCTTGAACTGAGTCCGCTTCTTCCTAACGTGTTCATGGACGACCAATGCAACCACGACAAGTTCTTCATCATCTAAGGACGAATCATCCGATGAGCAAATAAAGTTGTGAAAGAAATACTCATCCTCGCTATCCATGGTACCTTGTGAGCAAAGCGTCGAACACCTTGCGGTCGTGGTGGAGACGCGGCCAAAAAGAGCACGTTGATGTTGGTGGGTGGGTGGGCGCCCTGCGGCAAAGCAGCGCCTGCCCGAAGTTGTAGGGGGTCGACGGGCAGTGCCAACGGCCATAGCTCCTCTCCCACCGGCAACAAGGAACCATGAACGCCGGCAAAAAGCACTTCCAAACGCGGCTGTGGGCCTGCTATGGCATGAAGTAGTTCGGACGTCCTTGATGGAAGGCGACATGGCTGGGAACACAGTTGGCGGTGGCGATGGCGCGGAGAGGGGGTGGGGGGTAGGGCGGAGGAAGGAGAGGGGAAGAGGAAATTGGTTGTGTCCCCGACAGGCGGGTCAGGGGGACAAGGGCGCGTGTCCCGCCCGTCCGCGCAAGTTCATTTGGACACAAACGCGGCCTAAAGTTAGGCCGAGAATGAATCGAAAGCGAACCGGATGCATATATTGATCAATTTGCTCTCACGCGTTGAACCGTTATCTTTAAACAAACGCGACCAGACCATTTAAGATCGGGCGTTTGGAGTTGCCCACGTATGTGTGATATTCCCTCGTCGGGAACCATCCGTCCGTCCCGCACCTCACCTCTAGCCAAGGGATGAGTCATGCATGCTGCACACATTGCCACCCCACGCGTCCGGCATCCATTCTGTGCAACACATTCCCGAACAAAATGATAGTCAACCTTAATGTGCTTTGTCCGAGCATGAAACACCAGATTAGATAAAAGATATGTAGCACCGATGTTGTCACACCACAGAACTGGAGGGCGAGCTTGAGGGACTCTCAACTCTCTCAATAAAGACTGTACACATATGATCTCAGCAGTTGCATCAGCAACTGCTTTGTACTCAGCTTCAGTACTACTGCGGGACATTGTTGCTTGCTTGCGAGCATTCCAGGCGATCAAGTTAGAACCCAGAAATACCGCATAACCCTCGTGGATCACCTGCCATCAGGACTTCCAGCCCAATCTGCATCTGAAAAAGGTGAGAGCTCACACGACAGTGCAGACTGAAGAAGCAAACCATAGGAGGCAGTAAGATAGACATAATGCAATATACGCTTTACAGCTGACCAATGAGATGTCCTGGGTGTATGTAGGAATTGACACACACGGTTGAACTGCATAGGAGATATCAGGCCTGGTAATAGTAAGGTATTGCAGGCCACCAACGAGACTGCGATACTCAGTAGCATCATTACACGAGAGAGAGAGAGTCTCCATCAAGATCAGACAACCGATCAGTGGCAGACATCGGAGTGATAGCATGTTTGCATTTCAGCATTCCAGCACGCCGCAACAAGTCCAAGAAGTACTTCTTCTGAGTAAGAGTCAACCCATCTGAAGATCGTGAAACCTCTAGACCAAGGAAAAAATGCAGAGCACCTAAATCCTTGACAGTGTATTGTGACGGTGAACCCAAGGAGTCAATCCGTACTTTATTATTAGGCAGGCCCGTACCGTGGACATGTGCAGGGTGTGCGCCTGCACAGGGCCCCCAAATCAGCGGGGCCCCAGATTTGTATATACTTAGTACTAGTATTTTTAGTAATTAGCAAAAATTAGTGCAAAATAGGTTGGATAATGATGCAGCATGCCAGCGGGGCCCCACAATGAATTAACTCATCTAACCCCCAACTTGCGTTCCCAAGAGAAGGTGGTGGGACTGCACGAATTAACTACTGGACCCTTTCCTCACGCACGTCTCTCTTTTTCTCTTCGTCTTCTTCACAACGCCGCCGCCGTTCCTCTTTCCCAGATCGTGAATCAATCTCCAGTTCTTCACTAGCAGCCGCCGTTCGGTTCTTAATCCCCAGCTATTAGTTTTATTGCGATTTCCCCAAATTATCCGTTGCAATGAGCAGTGGAATAGGTAACGTCTACTTCCCATCTCCATCTATTTATTTGGTTGGTGTTCTGTTCTTCTCAATTCTCAAATCGGGCCTGCAAATCAGTGTTTCACTCGACCTCCTTCGTTTCCAGTTGCCGCCTTGCCGGTCCTGCGACCCGTGTGTGTCAGAATCAAGTGGAGCCTGGATCCCTGGAGACCCTGCTCATCAGAGAGATTCGACTGCTCGGCAGGCCAGACGAGGCTACGAGTTCTTAGTCGCCAAAGCAACAAGTGTCTCCTCCCCGCCTCCCCCTGATCTGCTTCTCACATCAATCAAAGACAGGTTGTTTCATTCCTTTTTGACCGCAAGTTCAGTTTTTAGTTCCTTATTTGTCGCTTAGTTTACTTTCTGCAATGTCCTCTAGAATTAGAAAGTGCCCGTCAGGATATGAAAAACGTCAGAAAAAGAAAAAAAAGAGAAACTTGATGAATCTCTGAAAGGTGGTCTTGATATATTTTTTGTTAAAGAACCAAAGGTTTCTTCTGAAAATCAAAGTGTAGATGCTAATACTAATGATGTGCACGACGATGACTCTATCCATACTGAAACTCAGGGCGAAGAGGTTAATGTTGTTAGTAACCTGGATGAGGTACATGTTGAGAATAATAACCCTGATGAAGCAAATCATGGTGATGAAGTACCTGCTAATGTTGATGTTTCTTTGCAACCTGATATATTTGATCCTCGAAATTGGGATGGCCTTGATTCTAAAGCAATTGATAATTTGGTAGAGAAGGGTCCTAAGAGGGCATCTATCCAAAAGGGCCATAAAGATAAACTTGGTAGGAGATTTTCTGCTGTGTTATATAGTAGAGTTTTGCCAAATGGAGAAAAGTGTGATAGAGAGTGGCTTGTATATTCTAAAGAGCTCAATAGAGTATTCTGCTTTTGTTGCAAAAAATTTGGGAAGGGGCGTGCTAGAGGTCATTTGGCAAACGAGGGATTTAGTGACTGGATACACCTTAGTATCAGACTTAGAGAGCATGAAACTGGAGTTGAACATCTTCAAAATATGGTCACTTGGCATGAGTTGCGCCTCAGGTTGCAACAGAATAAAACTATTGATAGCGCTGCTCGACAACAGCTTGAGAAAGAAAAGGACCATTGGCGTAAAGTATTGCTTAGAATTCTCTTGATTGTTAAATTTCTTGCGAAACATAATCTAGCCTTTCGTGGTACTAATTCCAAATTGTATCAAGATAGCAACGGAAATTTCTTAGGCTTGGTTGAAATGTTGGCTGAGTTTGACCCGGTTATTCAAGAACATGTTCGTCGCATAACAAATGATGAAACTCATACTCATTACCTTGGTCATGTCATCCAAAATGAGTTAATACATTTGATTGCTTCTGCAATTAAATCTGAGATCATTAAAAAAAATAAAAGAAGCAAAATATTTCTCGGTGATACTTGATTGTACTCCTGATGCGAGTCACAAAGAACAGATGTCTTTGATTATACGGTATGTTGAAACATCTTCAAGTTCTATTTCCGTTGTAGAATCCTTTTTAGGATTTTTGGATGTAAATGATACCACTGGAAAAGGACTCTTTGAGGTTTTGCAGGATGAACTAAAGAACCTTGATCTAGACATAGACAATGTGAGAGGGCAGAGTTATGACAATGGATCAAACATGAAAGGTAAGAATCTGGGGGTTCAAGCCTTGCTTTTGAATATAAATCCTAGAGCTTTTTATTCTGCATGTGGGTGTCATAGCCTTAATTTAACACTATGTGATATGGCCAAGACTTGTGGTAAAGCTAAGGACTTCTTTGGAATCATACAACGTATCTACACAACATTTGCTAATTCCACTAAGAAATGGAAGATTTTGAAAGATAATATAGGAGAAGGATTGACTCTGAAATCAGTCTCATCTACTCGTTGGGAGAGTCGCATAAATAGTGTCAAAGTTATTAGGTTTCAGATTTAAGAAATATGAGAAGCTCTACTGCAAGTAGCTGATGTCGATAAAGATCCTAAAACTTGTAGTGAAGCTAAATCTCTAGCAAATAATGAACTTGGTGATTTTGAATTTGTAGTAGCGATAATCATTTGGTGTGATGTATTGGCTGCAGTAAATTTGATTAGCAAGGACTTACAGTCAAAAGATATGCTTATTGATGTTGCCATTGAAAAAGTGCAAGGCTTGATTACCTTTTTCAAAGGTTACAGAGACACTGGTTTCACTATTGCAGTAGAAATAGCAAGGGAAATAGCACTCGAAATAGATATCGACCCTGCATTTCGGAAAAAGCGTGAAATTAAAAGAAAAAAACACTTTGATGAGAATCCTGATGATGTGTTAGATGCTTCACAATCTGCACAAGAGTCGTTTAGGATAAAGTACTTCTTACCTGTTGTTGATCAAGCTATTGCTTCACCTACTACGAGATTTGAGCAATATAAATCGTACGAAAAAACTTTTGGTTTCTTGTTTACTTCTCATGCACTAAACTTATTGGATGATAAAAATTTGAGGTCTTCTTGCAGTAGCCTTGAGACTGCACTTAGAATTGGTGACAAATCTGACATTGATGGTAATGATTTATATGTTGAGTTAAAGTTACTCCAAGATTTCATTCCAAATGAAAAAAAATATGGGACCTATTGACATTTTAAATTTTTTGAAACGCTTGAATTGTTTTCCCAATGCAACTATTGCATATAGAATTTTATTGACCATCCCAGTAACCGTTGCATCGGCGGAGAGAAGTTTTTCTAAACTAAAGTTGTTGAAGTCCTATTTGCGTTCTACAATGACACAAGAAAGACTTAGTGAACTGGCTTTGATAGCAATTGAAAACGACATCTTGGAGAATGTATCTTAGGAGGAACTAATTGAAGAATTTATCTCAAGGAATGCAAGAAGGATGTCACGCTTCTGCTAGAAAATGTATTGTTTTTTAGTTTCTAGAATCACTTTTGCGACAAGATGTTATTCAGAAGATTGTACTATGTACCAACATGATATATAATATTAATAATAATAACAATTAGATCTTGTTTCCCTCATCGCCACTTGCCACGCCGAGGGCCCATTTTCTGAGTTTGCACCGGGCCTCCATTTTCCCTGGTACGGCCCTGTTATTAGGAAAGATTCCCTCGTCTGCAAACATCCGTTCGTCCGGCACCTCAGCTCTAGCCGAAGGGATGAGTCATGCATGCAGCCAGCGCCGCGCCTCTATTCGTCCACGCATAGGGGTCACACCGCTTATACACAGACGCAGGCAATACACTTCCAATTTCCAGTCACAAGATCCAATCAATCATACAAACACGACAGCAAGCCAAGAATTAAGAGGCTCTGGGAAGATGCAGGAGGCGAAGGAGAAGGTGAAGGACAGCGTGAGCGCGGTGAAGGCCAAGGCGGCGGAGAAGGCGGAGGCCGCCACGGCGAGGTCGCACGCGGAACGGAAGCTGGCGCACGAGCGCGGCAAGGCCAAGGTCGCCGCCGCTAAGATGGAGCTGCACCAGGACAAGGTCCTGCACCGGGAGGAGGCCATCGAGCACCGAATCCACAAGCACGGCGGCCACGGCCACCATCACCACAAGCACGGCGTCGGCATCGTGGCCGCGCCCGCGCCGGTGCCCGGGGCAGGGGCGTACTACTCTACCGCTGCACGTCACCACTACTAACTAGCTAAGCAGCTCGCTAGCTACACGGGCACATGCGCCGCCTGTGCGATGTGAGCTCGCTAGCTAAGCCTGTACTGCGTACTGTTTGTGTTTGACATGCGCACGCGTGCCTTTTAACTTTGCACTTGGGTTGAAGATGAGAGCTCTGTGCATGTATGGATACGCATGCATGCAACTTTGTTAGTTGCTTTTTTTAATAATCCATACTTGATAGACAAAGGGGTTTGGGTGTTGTGGGCTTCGACGCCTGTTGGGTCGGCCACGGCAACATATATAAAGAGGGGTACCTCATGGGGTACAGATACAATGTACAGAAGTTACAATACGTACAAGACTACAGGTCTAACACCCTCCCTCAATCTTAACCTTGATCTGAAGAATTCAGAAGATTAAGATTGCGACAACATCCCTCAAATTGAGGTAATGGCAACGGCTTCGTGAAGATGTCAGCAAGTTGATCCTTCGACGGGATGAACTTGATCTAAAGTAACTTCTGTGAAACTCGTTCTCTGACAAAGTGATAGTCAACTTCGATGTGTTTCGTTCGGGCATGAAATACCGGATTTGAAGAAAGATACGTAGCGCCGATGTTGTCACACCAAAGAACAGGTGGATGATGCTGAGAGACTCTCAACTCTCGAAGCAAGGACTGAACCCAGATAAGTTCAGCGGTGGCATTGGCAACTGCTTTGTATTCAGCTTCAGTACTACTACGAGACAGTGTAGCTTGTTTACGAGCACTCCGGGCGATCAAATTAGGACCATAGAACACTGCATATCCCCCCGTGGATCGCCTGTCATCTGGGCTACCAGCCCAATCTGCATCAGAAAACGCCGAGAGGCCACCGGAAGGAGCAGACCGAAGATGCAGGCCCAGAGCAGCAGTCAAGCAAACATAGCGCAGAATGCGCTTCCCAGCAGTCCAGTGAGTATCCCAAGGAGCATGAAGAAACTGGCACACGCTGTTCACCGCATAAGATATATCAGGACGAGTAATCGTCAAATACTGTAAGCCGCCAACAATACTGCGATACGTTGTAGCCTCATCCGAAGGAAGAAGAGTACCATCAAGTGCAGAGAGTCGATCAGAAGCTGTCATGGGAGTGCTAGCAGGCTTACACTGAAGCATACCAGCACGACGAAGCAAATCCAGAGAGTACTTCTGCTGAGTGAGAGTCAGACCGACATCAGAATGAGAGACCTCCAAGCCAAGGAAATAATGAAGCCGGCCAAGATCTGTAATAGCAAAATCACCACTCAAAGCAGAAACAAGACGATCCGCAGCAAAGGCCAACGAGCTGATCAATATGATGTCATCGACATACACCATCAGGTACATAGTGACCGTAGGGCGCTGTAGCATGAACAAGGACGTATCAGCTGTCGAAGGAACAAATCCATGTGCACGAAGAGCAGAATCAAGACGCGCATGCCAGGCACGAGGCGCTTGTTTAAGACCATAAAGAGCCTTTACCAAGCGACACAAATGCTGCGGACGAGCATGATCAACAAAGCCAGGCGGCTGACGCATATAGAGCTCTTCATCAAGAACACCATGAAGAAAAGCATTCTGAACATCGATCTGTCGAAGAGACCATCCACGAGTAACAGCAAGGGACAAGAGCAGACGAATAGTCGTAGGCTTGATCACGGGACTGAAAGTATCATCATAATCAAGACCTTGACGTTGTTTGAATCCGCGAGCAACAAGCCGAGCCTTATACCGTTCAATAGAGCCATCAGCATGTCGCTTAACTTTGAATACCCACTTAGAATCAATAATATTGACACCACTTTGCGGAGGAACAAAACGCCACGTACCATTTTTCAGCAATGCCTGATACTCTTGTTCCATCGCAGAATGCCAGTGAGGGATACCCATAGCTGCTTGATAATGATGGGGTTCAGCAGAAGGATCAGTTTCAGAATGAGCTATACAGGCCACGAGCCATGCAACCGTGCCATCGGTGCGTTCGAGCGGACAAAAAATGCCACTCTTGCTGCGAGTGTGTGGATGATGAACAACCGGAGCAGTGGGCGCGATCGAAGTCACAGGAACCGTCGATGGAGAGGCTCACGTCTCCTGAGGAGAAGACATGGCAGGTGATGATAGCAGCAGAGGACGGCCAACAGACGGTGACCGCGACGAGGGCGGGCTGCCAGGAGGCGACTCAGTAGGCGCGGGCGTCGCCGGACCGGGTGACGCAGGCGAGACCGGCCTGGTCACGGGTGAGTCCGAGCCACGGGACGCGGGGAGGTTCAGCTCCAGCTGAGCCGGGGCCGAGCGCATAGTGGGCGTGGGCACAGCCGACCCTGCATGGCCCATGCAGGGAGAAGGAGGCGCGGGATCAACGTGATCCGCTGAGAGCGGACCTGCCTCTACCGGAGCCGGATCCGATCGCATAGCGGTCGCGGGCGTAGGAGACCCTGCATGCCCCATGCAGGAAGCCGCAGCGGCAGGATCGACGTGATCCGTCGAAGCAGCCGTTGGAGCAGCGGAGGAGTCCTCCAGAAGAACAAGCCGAACACCTCTACCAGTTCCTGCATCATGGTTAGACAACAAAAGAGGCGAGTGTGCAGCATATACAAATTGATCAGGCAATAAAGGAGATGAGTGCACTAGTTCAGTAGGTGTGGTGACAGGAGTTGGAAGATTAGAAAAAGGAAAAACATGCTCATCAAAGACAACATCACGTGAAATATACACACGATTTGTTGGAATGTGAAGGCATTTATAACCTTTGTGCAACGAACTGTACCCAAGGAAGACACATTTTTTAGAACAGAACACAAGCTTGCGACTATTGTAAGGACGGAGATGTGGCCAACACGCACAACCGAAGACTTTGAGAAAAGTGTAATCAGGAGTCTCGTGAAGCAAGAGTTCAACCGGAGTTTTCATGCCAAGAAGCCGCGACGGAAGTCTGTTTATGAGAAAACATGCGGTAGTGAAAGCATCACTCCAAAAACGAAAGGGAACAGAGGCATGAGCTAGTAAGGTCAAACCGGTCTCAACAAGATGATGATGCTTACGTTCAGCCGAACCATTCTGCTGATGTGCATGAGGACAAGACACACGATGCGAAATCCCAAGTTTCTCGAAGAAGGTATTTAGATTGAGGTACTCACCCCCCCCCCCCAATCCGACTGTACATGAATAATTTTGTGTTGTAGGAGACGCTCAACATGTTCTTGGAATTTAAGAAAAACATCAAACACATCAGACTTGTGTTTAAGAAGATAAATCCAAGTAAAGCGACTATAAGCATCAATAAAGCTGACATAGTACTCATGACCACTAACAGACATCTGAGCAGGACCCCAAACATCTGAAAACACAAGCTCAAGAGGAGTTTTGGCTACATGACTAGAAACAGAAAAAGGTAACTGATGACTCTTTCCCTGCTGACAAGCATCAGAAACTGAAACATCTTTATTACTAGACACAGACGGTACATCATGACGGTGAATAATATGTCGAACAATGGGTCTAGCAGGATGGCCAAGACGAGAGTGCCATTTTGAGGGGGACACTCGAACAGCACTGAAGACTTGAGGGACGGCTGGAGAGACAGAGCGCGACACATCAAGAGCGTATAGTCCATGGCGAAGGCGCCCTCTAAGAAGTGCGTCCCGTGTAGCCCGGTCCTTGATAAAAACATGAAATGGGTGAAACTCACAAAACACGTTATTGTCATAAGTAAGTTTAGGTACAGGTAGCAAGTTACGGGCAACAATGGGAACTCGAAGAACATTCTTAAGATGCAACTGCCTAGATGTATATGTGAGGAGAGATGCCTGACCAATATGAGAGATGTGCATACCTGCCACATTGGCTGTGTGAACCTTGTCAGGACCAGGCCTCACGGATAGCAAGCTTCTCCAATTCATTTGTCACGTGTTCGGTGGCGCCAGTGTCCATGTACCAGGTGGGATCAATATTATAAGACTGAGTCTTCCCTTGATGTTGCGTCATGTTGACTTGACGCTCGTTGCCGTTGCCGTTGTTGCCAAGACCAAGAAAATCAGGCTGAAAACGACGATGACAGCGAGACGCAACGTGGCGAGGAATTCCACACAGCTAAGAAGGGGCAGCCGCTCCACAAGCGGCACGACAGGCACATGAGTGCCTGTTCTTGATGACGATGGTGGGACGCAACTGGGAAGGTGCAGCAGGAGGGGCGGCACCCTT